AGAGTCTCAGCTTGGAGATGGCATGCTTATCACCATCACTGCTTACTCCATCAAAACAATTGCCCTGGCATGACACACCCTGGCTGGAGTTCTTCATCAGAAAAGTGTTGTAAGTCCACTTCAATGAATGTGGCTGTAGAATAGCACTACAGGGAAGCAGAAAGCAATGAACTGAGAGCAGCAATACAACCTACCATAACTCAGGTCCTGGCTTTCCTGAAATTTATCACTCACCCAGGTACTAAGTACAAATTCAAAGAAGTAAGCAACAAAACTTTTGTCATGTTTACAAGATACCTGGGAAATATTAGCAAAACACATGAGTTAGTTTTCAACTCTAAGATTGTGTGTTACTAAGGAAACAGAAAGTGCACCAAGATTGCCTTCTACCAAGAGGATTTGTTTGGAGGCTTACCTAGGATTAATTAAACAAAATGGTTTACTACAACTTCACAAAACCTGATGATTTTTAGACACTTAGAAAGTAATTGCTGATAACAAACTGAATAAGACAGAAGTTGAGGAGACATGGGAAGGAGAGTTAGCTATTGTTAAAATGATGATGGAAACCTTCCCCATCTCCTAGCTTTTATCTCACCATATGCCACATCTCTCACTGCTACACCTGTCTTATTCTCCCAAGACTTCTCAGGTCTAGTGTTCACACTTACCTGCTCTAGACCTAGACATATCTTTCCCCAGTATATTATGATCAATGGTGTCTTATTGCTTGTTACTGTCCATTAAAACATGGCACACTGAGCACCTTTCAGCTTCTACCATCCCATACTTCACAGGCAGTGATCATCCAGACTTCTAACACCGTAGGTTGGCTTTATCCAATGGTGTAATTGCTTGTATTCTGTCTGTCTTCTTTCATTCAGTGTGAGATGTATGATAATAGACCATTGACTCCAACTGACATTTAGAAGTCCACTATGATGGTTAATTGTGACTGTCAATTGGGCTGGATGAACAGATGTACCGGGGTAGTACAGCACACTGCTAGGAATGGCTGGGTGGGTCCTGTTGACTCTATCTGGTCTCTGCTCCTTTCTGTCTGAGACTCTTCCCCCATTATTCTCTTCTTTCTAGCAACCATGCACAAAGCAGCTTTGCTCTGCCAAACCTTTCTTCCATGATGTTTCTACATTGGAGTAAGCAATCATGGACTGAATCCTCTGGAATTGTTAAACTAGCCCTCTCCTCCTTTAAGTTGCCAGGCATGAAATAGTCTGTCATGACAGGTTAGCTAGCCAATGCATCCACTGTATAACACAATATATTTAGCTGTTCTACCTCAGCCATATATTTGAATAGATTCCACTTTAGAGCTACTGCAAACATTCCAGTTCATGTTTGAGGAAAAACAAATTAATAGATTTCCTTAGACCAATAGCTAGGTCTGGGAGGAATGGGTCAAAAGGCATGTGGACATTTAGGCATTTTCAAAAGTGGTTGTACCATCTCCAGATAGGATTTATATTCATCCATGAAAGCCTTTACAGTCTGCACAGCATTTTCAAAAGAGCATGACTAAAACCCAAGTTTTTCTGATTCCTAACCTGGAAGTTTTTCCATTCAGTAAGTTCTAATCCTTCTTTCTATCCTTCCCCTCTTAAATATTGTCCTGCCTTTAATTCTTAATTCCTAGCTAGGCATGCATAAGCTGTTTTCCCCTTGCTAATTTTTGTTTCAAAGTAAGTCACAGAAGACTCCAAATAATTGTAATTGTGGGACTTGTAGGTTTCATAAATGATCAGTCTATCAGAGGAAATTGGAAAGAAGAGAGAGAGAGAGAATTTCAGTCACAGGAAAGTGTTTGGTGGAATTATCAGATCCCAGATGGCGGTGGATCGGAATAAGCCATCCCTGATGAAATACAAGAGAAGATAGAAAGCTCGTCTTTTATCATATGGACTTCATGGCAAGTACATCAGCCAGCATTCAGCACTAGCTTCTCCAAACTGATACATGGGAGCCAACAGGAACCCTCAGAAGTCAAATTAAACCCCAGCCCTTGTATCTCTACCAAGAAGGCCAGATCAGGAATCTGCCCCTGGTTTATTAAATGTTGCCTGTGTCTGAGCCCAAGCCATGAAGAATCTGAGCAGAAATGTTTAAGAAAGATGATGAGAGAAAAAAACAAGTTCTGACCTCCTTACTGCCTTCCCCTCTATTCCTTGATTCTGTATCATAAATGGAATTTTTTTTATATTTAGATTATTTTCAATGCCTGGATTTGAATTTAGCTGAAGTTAAGGGTACTAATTAATTGTGAATCACTCCAATACTTGAGTATAAGGCCTCTTGAGCTTAATGTGCAAATTTATGTAAAAATAATGTGAAAATTACAAATGCATTGGCACATTTTCAACCAGAACTGTAGCACTCTCTCATCCAGCAGACTGCTCATTTGCAGGTTGTCTATATGCAAAGCACTCTGCCCCTGGGAGCCTAAAATCTCCTTAGCAAGTCATCTGAAATTTGAGAAGAGCTTTGTTCTGAACTTGCTTCCTGCTCTCTTTACTTTTTCTTCTCTGATTCCAGCACTGTGGGCCAGAAGGCTAAGTCTGGATCACACTTGACCAAGCCAGCCAGCCGGCAAACACCAAACCTCAAGCTCATCCCACCTGAGTATGGAGGGAGATAGCTGAATATGCCTTTCTGTCTTGAGCCCTGTTCACCGGTCTTGCTCTATACCTTTTCAACTCCCAAGAACTTCCCAAATCCCAGTCCTCCCAGCCTGCAGGACTCTGATGTCCTTTGAAGACAAGTCCTGCTTAGGGAAAGGCGCTGATTCCTCCCAGGTCCTGGGTTACCTGTCTGACTTTTACTTAAGTTTGAATTATGGGAAAGCAAGGCAGAAAGGTGGAAACTGATCCACCCTGCTCACAGTCATGAGTCTCACCCTACCTGGGGAAAAGAGCCGGCACTGACAGATACTCAGGTGCAGCAGCAGGGGGAGTGGTCTGTTGACCTGCGCTGTGTCCTGCGGGCACCTGTGGAGGAAGTGATCCAGTCAGTGCTAGAGATGCTGGGAGAGGCCGGCAGGCAGGGTCAGTCATTTCACACCCGGGACTGGGAAAGAGGCCTCTTTGGGAATTACTTGGACAGTCATTTAGCTGCTGGGGCAGAGACAGTGGTGGGAGGGACAGCAGGATCTCCCAGGAGCTGCAAGCAGCAAACTGGTTCTGACTCTGTACGTACAGGGTGGAGAGGGGTTGGTAGAGCTAAGAAAAACCCACCTGTGCCAGGAAAGATAGAGAGGACCATGACAGCTGAAGTGGGCACTCCTACGACAGGAACCACACCACCAGGGAGTGCAAATCACTGCTACCTTAAGGAAAGTTCCAGATAGCTCAAAGTTTAAAGAGACATCATCCTCACGCCCTCCAGTCACCAGGCCATGGGACTCTGTTTGCTTCCATGCCCGGTGGCCCACATAGCCACACCTCAGGTTGATTGCCATGATGAGAAGGCCCGCCTTCCCACACTGAGTGGTTCTGCACAGACTGTTTATGGTGGCCAGCAGACTAGGCAGCAGTTGTCGCATAGTCTATGGCCTGGACATTCACGATGAGGTCCCAGATCAGCGTGGTCACCACTGACCGTGGGCTTTTTAGAAAATAAAGTGCAGCCTAGGCTCCCAGAATCAGAAGGTAGATTTTAACACGTGCCAGGGATGCTTAAGTTAAAAGCATCCCATTCTAAAGTTTGACTCCAAATCTCTACCAAGTCAAACCAACCATTATCTGCCCAGAGTTGGAAAGATGAATTCCAGCATTCCCAGTCCTCAACAGGGGGCCTTGGAAGAAGCACTTCTTTGCCTCAAACTTCCTCTCGGGTTCTCATCTTAAATGGGGATGCTAATTCCACTTAATCTAAGATGAGTAACTGGAAGGATAAATTCAAATTTGTCTTATAAATTAGGAATCACAGTTGAAATAGCATTCACTCTTATTCCTGTGTGGTGTCCTGACACAATAATTGGGTTATAAACACCAGAGAACATGACAATGTCTCCTTTACCCCTTTGTTATGTTCCCTGTATCCCTAAGTACAGTGTCCTACCCATAATGAGGATGACTATTTGACATTTATAACAACCCATCTCTCTTGGTGTTCCTCTCCCCCATAAAAATTTTTCTAATTCCAATTCCTGACTCTAACCATAAAAAGATTCTGTCACTTTGACCTCATCCTCTGAAGTTCATCCCTCTAAATAATTGTATTGTCTCTAGCTATAAAGCACTCTGTTGCTATGGCAATGCATGCATAATTGCCTGTGTAAGTAATTGAGGGTGGCTCTACAAGTCAGACTTCTTCCCACCAGAAAACAGTCTGTCCTCCCCAAGTGTCACTGTCCCAGAGGTTTATATCAAAGCCTTCTCAAACTTACAGATGTTTATAGTCCAACGCAAGGAAACAGAATGATACAGTAGGAAAACCAGTGGCAGAGAAAATTGGAGATGTTGGCTCTCATACAGCCTGACTGACATCTAATTTGCGATATAATTTGGCACAGGGTACAGGGCTTTTCAGGGTCTCAATCCTCTGTATTCATAGAAAGATAAGAACAGTAAGTATGCATTGCGACAACTCAATCCATAGAAAGTAGATTTCACTTAACTGAAATTACTCAACAAAACTTCCCAGCATTAAACATTAACACAACTCTTTCTATGTGCATGGTTCAAAATCATTCCAATAAATGATTAATTACAACATTCTGTATGGGCCAGTAATTTTGCTAGACTTTTATGATTCATCATTTGTGGTATGTTGTAATGTTACCTCTCGAAACTGACATACTGGCATTTATTTTTATTGCTTCTCTCAGATGACTTTTCAAAGAGACACCTAAAGCCACCTACTTAAGAGGGATTTAAAAGTTTGATGTGGTGGAAGCAAGCATTACTTGACTTAGCTGGCCACCCAGACAGGAGCAGCAGACCTGTGCTGCCTTGGATTTGGCCACTGGAGCAGAGAACTTCACAATGGCTAACCCTACAGTCTGTCACCCCAATGCATCGGTCTGCGAAGGTGCATCGTGTGTGGTCTTGGAGGAAAATGTCAATGCCGTTCTCAGCACAGTCATGAGTGCTGTTCTGACCACCCTGCTGGCCTTAGTCATGTTCTCCATGGGCTGCAATGTGGAAATTAAGAAATTCCTAGGGCACATAAAGCGGCCATGGGGCATCATTATTGGCTTCCTCTGTCAGTTTGGAATCATGCCCCTCATGGGCTTCCTCCTGTCAGTGATCTTTGGCATCCTCCCCATCCAGTCCGTGGTGGTGATCATCATGGGCTGCTGTCCTGGAGGAGCAGCCTCCAATATCCTGGCCTATTGGGTGGATGGCGACATGGACCTAAGGTAAGAGATCTACATCTCCAACTATTGCAATCACATTGGGCTCATCAGTGCATAAGCCCATGGCATTCAGAGTGTACATCTGGTCTACCACTGATTTTTGGCATGACTAAGGAATTAAGTGGGAAAGATTAAATACATTTCAGTGCTTTGGGACACAGCTTCTTGGCTATTAGAACTGGGGGCTGTAGTTTATTTTTGTGCTTTTAAATCTAAATTAGATAACAAGGAGTTGCATAATTGCTGATTATCTTTGGGGAAAGCTTCAAAGTATATGAAAAAAAAAAAAAAAAAAAAAAAAAAGGAGTCTTTTCTAAGCCACAAGCCATAATTGAGAAGTTGATGGGGATGTTGGAAGACAAACTGAAAACTCAAACTGGGCACCAGTTTTGAGACTACCAGGATAGTGGTCAGGATACCAGGACAGTGGTCAGTTCCACTACACACCCACTTCTTTAGGTAAACTCTGTCTTGTTGTAAAATCCGAGGAAGAATTCAGAATTTGCTTTACCTGTACTAGCATAAAAGAAATGGAAAACAAACTTACAGTATGTTTTCCATTTTTTTTAAATTATGCATACTGTACTATAACATAAACAGGAAATTGTTTCTCCACTTCCCACAGAGTAATCTGAAATTCAGTGTTTTCCCAGTTCTTCCTGGGAGTATGGCTGAAGAGAGGGAAAAGTAATAGTTATAAGAGGCAGCGTTAATGGGACTAGTCCAAAACTTTTAGTGTCAAAAGCTGAACAAACAAATGCTTTTTTCCTTACTGCACATTCTTCATTTGTGAGGAAAGGTATATATTTTTGAAAACTATCTAGGTGGTAATGTTACATATGCTTATTAAATACTGTAGGGTAGGCAACTAGGTTTATTAATCCCAGCTCCTGTATGCAGAAGAGAGAAGCTTCAGGTATAGATATGCTACTGTTGGATTGATCAAGTACTTAGCAGCAATTAGAAACCTGCTATTTTATCACTACTGGTGCTGATTTCCCCAGAAGTTTTAGACAAATTTTACATACTATGTGTTTTTCTCATACTCATTTTTGCAAGAGGAAATATATAGTATCTACCTCACAACAGATGTACTTTGAAGAAAAGCCCTGTGAAAGAACTCAAGAGGCCAAGCACTGTTAACCTAATTTCTGAACCACAATATAACAATAAGTGCCTCCTAGACTTCAGTTTAGTTTGACCTGAACACAGAGATGAAGATTCTAAAAGCTAGCACTGAGTAAATTTAGGGAAATGAATAGGAGGCTTTGCCCTCCACTAGCTAGCTTTTACATATCTATAAGTTTTAAGCATACAGTCTTATGCTTTAACAAAATGACCCATACCTTACTGTAATGCCATGAATATGGTCATTTCCTGAGATAGAAAACAGTACATGTGATGCTGGAAATTTGTCTGTTGAAATGGGTTCTCTTCTGCAGGCTATATTTTAGCACCAAAAATAATGTTTATTACAATGACCATAATCACTGAAACAATGTTAACCATGCCACTATGTAAGATGGCCTTATGGATGCACTGTGGATGTTAGGGGGAAAATATTTAAATATTTCTTTAAAATAAATTGAGAGGGTGAAACTTCAGACAGTGGGCAACAGTCTTCTAAGACATTTTATTCTTCTAGAGAAAATGCTGGATAATTTAAGCCTTATGACATTATATTTAGACACAGTCCTATCTACCACTTATATTTCTAATTCTGTCCTCTGAACATTACTTTCTCCATTTCTGCCTGAGCTTTAGAGACAGCAGTCAAGACATGGTTTTTTATATTGACAGATACATGTGCTATTGAGCTGATACCTCACAGTTCCACCTGGCTTTCTCTTTCTTAGATGTGGTCCCTAGGAGAAGAAACCAAAACATTGTTCCTCCTCCTATCATGTTTTCTGAGATGACAACCATTGCATTTTACAACCTCTTCTATTTTAAATAATACACAAATAAATAAGCAGCTATCTGTGGTTTTAGAATACAGACACTGCCACTACTGCTTCTTCTCTGATCACTTCCAGCCTGGAAATGTGTCATTTCTGAATCTGATCAGTGCACAGGTACTTTCATCTATGAAAGTCATGCTGTGGACATCAGGAGCACAAAATGGGTCAGGGAGAAATGAAGGAGGCCTTTCCGGTGAATTTGCTGATGGCCAAGGCCCAAGGACCAAGAGACACAGAGCGACCCTCCTTCCTTTGTGTCTGTACTATGCCCAGAAACAAGTAAATATTTTGTCTCTCCAGACTTAGAGATGGCCTCGGCCGCCCCACACAGACAATTTTTTGTCTTTTGACTTATTTGGGGAATCCATTCTCTTGCTTCCTTTGCTCAGTTCTCTCCAAAACCTTCACAGCTGGCCACTCTCTACACTCATTATTTTCTAGAATTCCTATTTCATAGCTTTTCCTGCCACATCCTTTGTCGTTGGCCAAACACTGTTACATTTTTTGTCTTTTAGTTCCATGTTCATTGTTTTTTTAGTTGTCCAAAATTCCTGAGCTACTGGACCATGGCAATTCAAAGCCACCCCTCCCACTCCATCCAGGTAAACATCCTCCATCGACTCTTCGCCTTACACTCCCTCTCTGTTTTGTTTCTCTCGTGCAGCATTTACTTTTATTTTAGTCACTGACGTATACTGGACACTATTACAACCCAGGCACTCACAGTACCAAGTACTCAAACTGCTTTGGTGTATTTCGTCTTCCAAAGAGTCCTCTCAGGTCAGTACTGTCATCTTCTGCATTTGGCAGATGATAAAGTTAAGGCTTATCACCTGAACCAGTGTATGTTCATGTCATTGTTGGAATCCAGACCTATTACTTATCTCTACATTGCTTCTACGTTACTTGCTCTGCATTATTTCTATACTCATTATTCCAAGTACCATCCATATACACTTCTTTTGAGGCTTCAAACTTGCTGCTCCACTTCTGATATGATTATAATGTTTTGCATTCTTTATCTTCACCGAATTTTCATTCATTAGCTACTTTCATTCCTCCCTACACACATACACATAAAACTTCCATATGCCAGTGGATAAAGATAAATCCATGATTTTCATTTTCTTATATATTGATACATTTCTCATTCCAGTATAAATTCATGGTAGGATTTCTATTTTTGACAGCCATTCCCTTTATAGAACTGGAAATTTTCCAAGTAAAGTAAATTTTTAATTTGCTAGTTTATGCCCCTACATTGTTAATTAAAATTCTCTGACTGTGAAAATACTGTTCTAAGTGGCATGACTTTGTTTTTGTTTCTAGTTTAGAAATAATCAACCTACAGCCACATTTTCTCTTGTCTCTCTGTGACTTCTTATTGTCTTTGTCTGTTAAACCTAACCCATTTCTCTTCCAAATTCTAACCTGTACTTTCGCCTGGTTTTTTAAGAAACATCTCCCACCAAATGCAGGGTCATAGTATAACTTCCTAAACTGTCTGAACAGTAACTCAGAATGGAAGTTTTCAAGAGAAGATTTAAAAGAAAAACAAGAAAAAAATCTGACTTCTAAAAATTGCTCTACTAATTTAAAACAAACAGGTCCAGACCTTCTCCTCTTCACTATCCTGCAGGTCAGGAATCCCCACCTCCTTTCCTCTCCCTCCTGCTGCAGGCAACATGCTAGATGCACAAGAATAAAGGGATTTTCCTACAGAAACAATTATCAGCCTGCTCTAATATATTTTTTAAACTAAAGATAAGAGAGAGGGAAAGGAAGAGAGAAAAAAATTTAGAAAGTTCAGTACTTTAATTATAAGTAGGACAAAGCACTATTAATAACAAATGCACTTGTTATTTTTCTAGTGCAGGACTGCCTTTTCTTCCTATTTTTATCTAAATTAAGTTAACCCATGATGATAATAAATTGAACTTCTCAGGAAGTGTTTTAAGTGCATCTTCTAGCATTGGTTATCATTAACATATTTTAGCTCTACTCATACAGATATTTTTACCTGAATCTTGTAAAGCTAATTTAAGTGAATTCATTACTCATTTAAAAGAAGATTAATAGGAAGATTAATAGTTTGTCAAAACTGTGCAAATTTAATTATTTACACTGAAATTAAATTCTTTATCTTCATCTACTTTGCTTTGCATAGTATAGAATTGTTATTTGGAGGAATGGTCAGGTAGTTTAAATATTTAGTATTTTTCTTCAAGTACACAGATAATACCCATTAGAAATGACTGAATGATTTGAATGCCACAGTTGTCTAGGAAAGAACCTTCCAGAAGAATTGCTGTGTTTGTTCATGGCATGCTATAGTAGAATACAAAAACATGCTCTGTGGTCATACAAATAATAACAGTAATGACTCTCACGTAGACCTTGTTCTCCACTGGACACCATAAGCTCATCACAGGTTCCTGCACAGTCTATGAGGCAACTAAGACTGTGATCATCATTACAGATAAGAAAATCTGGCAAACAGAAGTCAAGAAAATCTCCCAGAGTCACATATTAAGCAGCACTATATTTTCCCAATCCTGACAGCAAGTGGCCTTAGAGCCCCAGCATTGAATCTCGTACCCAAACTCTCTCCCACCCACCATCACAATGCTGAAAACCTCTACATTTGACAGCAGTTCTTCCATGCTAGAAACCAAAATCCACCTACGTGGCCAGACACCTTATTAAAACACAAATGCTTTAAACAGGACAATTCCCAGGTCTTGAGTCTTCTGAGCACACATCTGATTAATTGTTAATGACCTACTCCGTGTTAAGAATCCTGCCTCCCTTGCTTGCAGGAATGTTTTGCTTTTCTTTTTAAAATCAGTTTGTTCTTCTCTGGCTATAACCATTTAGGCAATCATTTGACTGTTTCTAGAAAGGCAATTGCCCAGACATGTATTCTCCTTGAAGGCCCCAGGAGGCCCATCTCCACCAGCAGGCACAGCTGCATGAAGGCCCCGGAGTCTTCACTGGTACCGATGGATGCGTTTGCTGTTGGAGGTTCGACAGTGATCATCCAGGCACTGTGTGCCTTGTTTAACCATTGGCTTAGACATTATGAAATACCCCCTCCCATCCTTGAGAACAAAGGAGGAGACTGGGTAAATGCATGGCAGAGTAGAAGAACCAACATGGATGATTGTGCCCAAGGCCAGACTCTGCTCAAATTTGGGCATATGTATATTTCTGCCCATCACACCAGATAGTGCCACTGGTTGGAATAAGTTCTTGCAGAGCTTTCTAGTAATGGACTGAGAGTGAGGCAGCCTCTTCCCTGGAAAGCACAAGGGCACCTGTCAACATGCTCGTTTCCTTGCAGCGTCAGCATGACCACGTGCTCTACATTGCTTGCCCTGGGAATGATGCCACTCTGCCTGTATATCTATACCAAAATGTGGGTCGACGCCGGGAGCATCGTTATTCCCTTTGATAGCATAGGTAAGCCATTCCTCTGCAAGACTGTTTCGTATCACCCTCGTGCTCTCTGCTTAGTCTTTACTAGGATTTCAGGCCAGGCTCACACTTAGACATTATTTATCTCTTGCACTTGTGGCAGTTTTCACCCAATTAGAATTTCCTTCTAATTCACCTTGGCCTTTGAATGACTACTGGCAGAATGTAAGTTCCAAGCCTTGACCTCACAGAACAGACTGATTTTTCCTCATTTCACATTGCTAGGAAAGGAGTCAATTTAAAGGATCCCCACACCTCAGCAGGCTCAGGGTGCTCACCCAAGGCAGCCTCTGTCTTTCCTTCATCCAAGAGCAAAGCTAGCTCACATTAGTGGCAGTTTGCACATGAACACGTACATTGAAGATACGCAAAGAATGTTCATGTAATGGTTTCACAACAGAAGACCTAAGAAGCAACGGTGAGAGGCACCTTCGGGAACTACCCGATGAAACTTCATTTTTTTCTTTCTTTTTTTTTATTTTAAAGAGAAAAGAAAACAAAATAGCAACAACCAAGACAAAAAGAAAACAAGAGGAAATTGCATTTTAGGAATCCTCATATGTGGGCCATAGCTTCATGGAAAAGTTGGTCTGTATGTCATGCCCCAGAATTCAAATTTGCTATTATGGCTATGTCTCCTTTCATTTCAACTCCTACATGTTCCCCCATTGCTATTTCTGGGGGGAATAGAGACAGTGGGAGATTAAGTGCTTGGTGTGCCATAGGGCTGATGGTCACAGCAAGGGTAAGAGGGCTCCTGGTGTGCCAAAAGCAGGCTTTCCCACAGAGCTGCCATCACAAAAGATAAGCCTCAGGAGAATTAGTATACTAGTACCCATCACTGCACGTTAAAGAGTCTCGATTTCAGGTGAAATTACACACAAATGTCTTTCTGATGAGATTCCGCTAAAAAGTATGGGTTTCCCATTGAAGAGACCATACAACAAAGGCCACCCAGTGATGGGGATGTTTGTTGAAGGAATGCCTAGGGTGTTCTGAAAGCTGGACTAAAAGTCCCTTTCATTTCTCAGAAAGGTCATTTGTGTGATTAAATGTGGTGTAGACTATGTGCAAGCTGAACAGGGACAAATTTTTGCATAGTAATTGGGATGATCAGTATTGCGATATTTTTCACATAGTCTCTTTTCTCTCCCCTACTCCTATTGTAGGTATTAAACTTGTAAAATGTGGTCCGGTCCTCGAGACACTCTATTGGGTAGGGGTTGTTTCTGTATGAGATTCTCCTCCTGACCCCCGGAGACCCCATCATATCAGATACAATCTGAACTCGGCTTTTAAAATTTCTCTTCCTGAGCCTCATGCTGTCTACCTATTCTGCTGCTCAGAGCACACCTTCCTCAAAGAATGCAGTTTGTTTGCATAGCAAACACCGAGGTCCTCTCAAGGAACCTGCTTGCTGACACAGGAATTTTAATTGTACATTATTCTTTGCTTAAGAAAAGACTTCAAGCCTTAAAACATTCCTCTCTTGATATGCATTTCCTTGCTACAAGTGTCCCTTGGGAATATTGAGTAATTTTTAACTACTATGTGAATAACTTGTGCCATATCCTTGCATGTGAATAAATTTGGAAAGAAAAAAATAATGACAGATGGGTTGGCATTTCAGCACAGGGCGAAAATCATCATAAGTGGGGATCAAGGGTGAAAAAGAAGAAAAAAGGCAAGAAAAAGCAAAAAGAGTTTGAAACACAAAGACATTAACCGTTCACGCGTTCACCTGGGCCTGGTTTCCAACCCAAATTTTTTGCTGTTAGTTTTTCTAGTTTCTTTAATGAGGATAAAACTGAGCTGACAGCTTCACAAAATATGATCATCGCTTGATAAATGAGGCTATTGAGGTTCAAGGCAATTATTTAATTTTCCCAAGATTCCTAGGGAGCGGGAAATAGCCCACTGGTTTGCTTTTCACCCTGCTCTGTGTGCCAGCTCCGTGCTTGGGGCAGCGTGCGCAGGGCTCAGCATGTTCTTGTGACTCAGGAGAAGATCTGGGCCTCCCAGATAACAGCATCTGCATGGGGAGAGGCCAGTGCAGCTGGATCTTAAAAGCAAAGCACTGTGACAAGCTGTTATAGCCACATTTTGAGTATCTCATACCAAGAGCTTTAACTCCTTGTTATCATGAAATCTCACCACAGACTGTGAGGGAGACATGAGTCTGCTCATTTTCCACATGAGGAGACCAAAGCACCAAAGTGTTAAATGATTTGCACAGTTTCCACAGTTTGTGAATTTCACTCATGGAATCACTCACCACTCTCTTTCACTGTGGCTTTTCTTTCTACTTTTCTCTCTCCTGCGGCTCCTGGACACGCTAGAATTAAGATCAAGTTTTGCTTTCAGTGGTATGACTACAAGCTGATCCTTTTGATCTACACAGACAGGCATTTTGCAAAGCGAGAGAGCCCAGGCGTATGAGGAATAAATAAAACAAACAACCTGAGAGAGTGAGGCAAGAGGGCCACAAGTTCAAGCCTCGCCAGGACAATTTACCAAGACCCTGTCTTAAAATTAAAAAGAGCTAGAGAAATAACTGAAGATGAAGGCCTTGGGTTCAATCCCCAGTTCTGCAGGAAAAAAAAAAAAAAAAGCCAGCTCCAGGACGCCAGGGAAGCAGAGAGTTCCAGCGCCCCGCTCTCAGGGCAGGAACCATCTGTGGGTGTGAAGAAGGGCCGCTTCAGAGCCCTGGAAAAATTCCCCTGGCCTCATCTGGTGAAGGGAGAAAAAACTTCCACCTTAGACTATGGCCAGAGATCCTGTCTGCCTTGGCCTGCTCCAAAGAGACCAGGACCAAGAAGGCCAAGTGGATCCAACATGTTCAAAGTGCCCAACCAAAACCCAATCACAAATCTGTTCCAAACACAGTATGTATGCCTAGATTTAAGCTACCACAATGCAAATAAGTTCTATCAACACCATTTTAATTTAAGGCTTACAAGCTTCACAAAACCTAGTGGGTGGTCTAGGTTCAAAGAAAGGAAATGTCCTCCCCAAATAGTGCAATGCAGGGATACCCAACAGGGGATTAACCGCGATGCTCTCTTCCACATGCCTTTTTCCACCACTATCTGCTCGCACTATCCTGTCTTTTTTTTCTGTAGCCCTTCATTTCCTTTGCCATGACTTAATTCCACCAGGTAATTTCTAGGTAAAAGTAATTACTGACCCTTACACTGTGGGAAGGCCTGCAAGGCTGGAGAGAAATTGTGTTTTCATCATTATTAGATTCATTTTAAAGTAATATTTATAGTCCTGGAATCTAGAATATGTTTTCCACTCCTCAGTCAACTTATCCCGATATGAGGCAACAGCTACTCTCAGAATTTCATCATCCACTTGCACTTTCTCATACGGCTTTAAAAGGATGTTTGAAAAAGAAAGAGCCCACGAGAAGTTAGAAGTTGTTGGTGCTTTACTGTAGGGAAGCGGCCACTGGACAAATGAGTGTTTACCAATACGGAGAGACAAACCGTATGTCACAAGAATGACAGTAAATTTAACATGGTGAAATTAAAGTGTGACTCTTTCATCTGGCTGCACGAGCACGTTGCTGAGAAGAATTACAATTACATGAGAGGTCACCAAATGTATTATCGCATGGAAGATTTAAAGCATGCTTTTTCAACCTTTTCTCTCTGCTCTCTCTTGTTGGTTTGAATAAGTGAAATCAGTTTTGACCAAAAGTCTTTCACCTTCAGAATGCCCTGAGATCTTCATTAAATTTTTAATGTTTTCTTTTATTTCTTCTACTTTAAAACAAGTTATTTATTTCTACTACCATGAAGTAATGGAAAGGTTTAAGATATCATCTACATATACCACAAGAACATACATAACCACGTGTGCAAACACATACACACAAATTTTGGCAAGATATTTTTCTTAGAATATATAGATCTAATAGACTAAAGAAGCCAAAATCCTGACAAATAGAAACTAAAGTTTACTGGCAGTAGAAGTAACACTAAAAAAACACTATCCAGGATTTAGTGAAAGTATTATATTGTCAATTCTCTAATCAGTAATATTAAAGTACCACTATTATTAAATTAGCTATTGAAGTAAGAAAAGTGTGTGTGTGTGTGTGTGTGTGTGTGTGTAAATCTGCATTCTGTTCCATGCGTTCAATAAGGGAGGCTGAAATACTGCTGAAGTTTTTTTCAGGCCACTTACCTCTTGTTTTTCTCTTTCCTGTGTTAGAGCCTTTGCTGATTAAATTGGTCTCCTGTCATCTTTAGGTATTTCTTTGGTCGCTCTTGTTATTCCTGTTTCCATTGGAATGTTTGTGAACAACAAATGGCCCCGGATAGCAAAGATCATACTTAAAGTAAGTACCCTGCCCAGTAAGCTGCACAATTAAGCACTGCAAAGTGAGAAGTGGAGTAGTCAGCTTTCCATCTGTTATATTGCTTTATTCTCTTTTTTTTTTTTTGCTTTTCTCCGGTACCGGGAACTCGTGAGTGAACTCACGACCTTGCGCTTGCCAGGCAGGCGCTTTTGCCGCTGAGCTAAATCCCCAGCCCCTATATTGCTTTATTCTCATTGTGGAATTCAACTACCTTTGGGGCGGCCTGACGTTATGAGTCCTATAATGTTTTTTCCTAGAATGCCTTTCTTGGTCCTATCCACAGGCAAATATCTACCCATCCTTTGAGATCCGACTCCAACATCACTTCTTGATTTTACTTTACCCTGTACTCATAGAGCATTGCTGTTATCTCTCTTATGTGACTTTACATTATAAAATCTATCTACACAGAGATCTGTGATAACAAAATACATGTTTCTAATTTCTGTAACTATATGGCCAGGTCAGTGCCAGGCAGCTGACATATTTTAATATATGGTCACCATGCACTTCCCTTCACCAACTACACAGATATGCGTGTAGATGATACAGATAGATTCTATTGCCCAGGGGTAAAATGAGCTAATTAGTATTGCTTCTCTGGACAAAAATATACAATAACTAAATATGTTATAATATATAATTTAATCTCTACATAGTGTAAAACTATAAAAAGAAAAAATCGCAGTGCCTTTTTAAGCTTATAGTTTTATATCTATTTTCTCATTATCAGAACAATCATAAAATGTGGCTGAGGCAAGATTTTTATCTGCCAAAACAAATAAAGCAATTAAGATTTTTAAAAACTCACAATTTACCAAAGGAGACAGCATAGCAAGATCTGAATCTGGAAGTCAAGTCTTCCAGGCTCTTATTGGACTTGAGTTTCTTCCTCTCTGACAGGATAATTTGCAAGCTAGAAAATCTTCAGGTTAATTGAGCATGAATAAGCTAGATCATGTGGTTTCCTTAAAAATTTAAACAGCACCAGTGTTTCCAGTTGACCATAGCCCTCAAGGTACATAGAGAGGTAGCTTTGTTATCACATCCCCAGATGGAAGCATTCTTCTTAGCTTTTGTCCCTGACAAACATAGTCAGAGGTGCTCTGACAGTGTCACTGGGTTCACTTATGTCTTTGTTTCTTATAGGTCGGGTCCATTGCAGGTGTAGTTCTCATCGTACTCATCGCTGTAGTTGGAGGAGTATTGTACCAAAGTGCCTGGATCATAGAACCCAAACTGTGGGTGATAGGCACACTCTATCCTATAGCTGGTTACATCCTGGGATTTTTTCTAGCTAGAATAGCTGGTCAACCCTGGAACAGGTACGGTATCTTGTCAAATCTGATTGGAAATTTTCATTCATAGCAGCTGTTGCATGTGTTTGCTATGGCTGCCACAACAAAGTGCCACAAACTCAGTGGCTTAACAGAAATTGATTGTCTCACATTTTCACAGACAAGAAGTCAGAATGAAGATGTTTACCTGCTTGGTTCTTCCTGAGGGCTATGAGGGCAGGTTTTATTTTAGGTTTCGCTCCTCAGCTTGTACATGACCATATTTTCCCTGTGTCTTTATGCATGCAGGTTGTTCCCACATGCCTGTTTCTGTTTCTGCCCTTTTTATTTAACAAGAAAACTAAACATATTGGGTGGGAACCATCCTAATGACCTCGTCTTTTATAATTACATGTGCAATGACCCTCTTTCCACATAAGGTCCCATTCTGTGATATCGGGGTAGAACTTCCACATATGAAGTTGAGGTGGGGACGTGATCGGGCCATAGCAATTATAAATACTGATCACAAGCTCAAAATCTTTCACCTTTAATCACATTTTCCCTATTTCTGACCATGTCATTCTCAATAAACTCATTCATCCTTAAAATAATGCAAATCCCTAAAAAGAAGATAATGACTATCTTTATACTTATCTATGTATTTATTTATACTCAAATTCTTCTAGGCCATTCTCCATTCAGTGCCAGACAGGCTTTTCCACTGGTATACATTCTTATTCTCCAGGCAGAGTGGCTTTAACAAAAGCAGTGAGTTTGGCTTTATGATACTCATGGGCTCCTCCAGCAATTGGCAGGCTGAACTCTCTTAGGATTTGCTACTATACGGAAACACTTCCTCTCTACCAGTGCTTCTAAGGCAACAGACACGGAAAACGCAGGTGTAGGTTGGACGCAGAGGAGCAGTACTAGCGCCACTGAGATAGGCTGCATTCCATCCCCTACCGCTCACCAGCTATGGGACCTTGGACCAAGCACTTTCCCTAAGTTTTATTGTCTGAGATGCTTTATTATAGAGATAATAACTTCTACCTTGCAGATTTTTAAATGAGATTTAATTAGAACAATCAAATTGAACAAAAAGTAACTATAACAAATACTATATCTGGAGTATTTTCTGAGCCCCTGATCTGTGCTCTAGGTTGTTACCAAGGGCATCACTGCAAAGGACAAGATGAGCATCATTTGCCATATATGGAAGGAGCACTATTATAAACGAGCTCACTCCTCAAATACTGGGGGTTATGGACAAACACTGGGAATGTTCCAATTTGAACTTACTACAGTAGAAGGAACATTGCTACTAATCTCCCTCAAAATACCCGCCTTCACTTTGAGCAGGCTTCTACCAACATTTTTGCCAACATTTCTGAAGCAATTCTGGAAGTCTTTTGAGAACGCCTTTAGAAGGCGTTATGGGAAACCTGGTGAATGTTGCTGCCGGGGCTCATCCAATGGAAAAGTGGACCCGTAAAAACATTAGGGTGTGTCCTCATCCGCCTTACTCACCGGATCTGGCACCGTGAGACTGTGCCTCTTCCCTAAAGTCAAAATGACCATGAAAGGTAAACACTTCTAATCAGTGCAGGACATGAAAACAGCTATAACTCAACTAAAGAGAAGAAAGAGCGCTTCCAGAACTGCTGCAGAAAGTGGCAAGAACAATGGGACGAGTCTGTTCAAGGCAAAAGGGACTGTTTTAGAAGGATTCGTGGAAATGTATCTTTTACTATAATAACATCTTTATGTGAACATATCCTATTTTTTATCACATCTCATATGTGTATATTCAGTAAATTTAGATCATATTACTATGTAATAATGTATTTTTCAGTATAAAGGCATGTAATTTACATTGAATCAGTACACATAGTCTATATACTTCTTCTCATACTTGCTTTGAATATCATCCAATAACAAAGCAAAGCAACAACGAGCACACGCGTTCTCTTAACCTCCCTGGTAGGTGCCGAACGGTGGCTCTGGAAACAGGAATGCAGAACAGCCAGCTGTGCTCTACCATCGTGCAGCTCTCCTTCACCCCTGAGGAGCTCAACCTCGTGTTCACCTTCCCCCTCATCTATAGCATCTTCCAGCTCACGTTTGCAGCAATACTGTTAGGAGGTAGGTAATCATGCAAAGTCAGTGCTACTATCGTATTCTTCTTTGGGAAATTCTAGGGTTGCTAAAATTTTTTTTTTTTCTTTTTTTTGGAATCTGGAATCAAACTCACAACCCCACACTCGCCAGGCAGCCACTGTGCCACTGAGCATTACCCCCGGCCCTAAAATGATTCTTCAAGAATTCTTTGTTCCTGGCAGTGAATGACACAAGTAAAAGAAAGCAAACTCCTGCCCCATAATATCATCATGACTCCACAAATGCTGCTAAAAATTATTTCATTAGACAGTTTTAGTGAAGATAATTTTTAAGTGAAAAATGATGGCAATGGATTCTCTCCACTGACTTTCTTTTCCTCAATAATTAGATATATCGACCTGTTAGAAGTATTTTATTCTGTTTTCTTAAATGCATCCAAAGAGTCCGACATTTTGGTGATTCTTCCTAAAACTGTGTCCTGATATGCTTTACAAGTATAGAATATTTATCAGAAAAGTAATAGACAGAGATTTAACAAACTGAGCTGTAAGGGAGATAAATACACATAGATAGATATAGATGCTCAATTCATGTAATTGAATCAGTTTAAACAAAAATGTTCTTTATTTAAAGTACAGGGGTTAGTTGACCCAGTTCTTAATTTTACTTTGCTATGGTATAAACTTTGATCTTCTCCCATGAGGCCTCCCCCTACCAGTCTTCACCCAGTTGTGATTTTTACATGCATTTTACTTTCTAAGAACAGGTGACATTTAAACTCTATTTTAAAGTTCTATTTTTTAAGTAAAGAAGTTACTTTCAAAGCTTCGTGGCATTTTAATGGGAAATACAAAGGGAAGTCGCATGACAAAAATAATGTGAACCTTAACTTATAAAATGCCATGAGACACTATTTTATCTTCCTTTATTTCTTTTCGTTTTATTGTTCTTGCTCTTTCTGCTCAGCTCCAGTACGCATTTAGCTTGAGGAGCACTGTTTTAGCTCGTGTCTTTTCGCAAAAGGCCATCAGTCCAAGGTGTTGGACACTGCACCATAGCATGTGGCATGTTTATTGAGGACTCCCACATCAACTAGCGTATGATAGCTTTGGAACAAATACCTCTTATTCTTATTATCATAGAGTTTCACCTGCAGGGTTGAATCTTAATGGAGTCTTGTGGTTGCCCTGAGCAAACATCCCTGAAGTTTTAGGATAGGTCTTCCTGAAGTACAGTCTTCTTTCTTGCCACAAGTGGTCACAGAACCAAAAATGAGAGTTGTTTTCTCTCAGCAGCCTCCAGTCTATAGAAAATGCAGATGGCTCTATGAATCATGCAATATAATCACTGTCTAAAGTAATTTTGCAGCTTATGATTATGAAATTTACTTAACCTCCTGTGTATTGTTTTCCAGCTTATTTTGCATACAGGAAATGTCAGAGGAAAAATGATGCGGAACTTCCAGAGAAAAAAGACAGCAAAATACAGTCTGAGTCATCCTCTTCTAAGATAAATGGAGCATTTCAACCAGACTCCTAAAAAGTACACCCAGAGTCGGCGAAAAGAAAAATCCTAAGGAACTTTCTTAAACTCGAAGTATATTTAATTATTGGTTTTGGCAAGATAGCTGACAGGAAGAAGTTCAAGCACAAATTTGAATTGAATCTCTGTATATTACCTTTGGTACAAAGGAACATGTGGTCCAATTATTTAATGTGACAAATATTGTTTCATATATATATATATATGCATATATATATACACATATACATTTATATATATGCTTCACTTATACATATATACACATACACAAATAGATATAGATGTCCTTCAGTAGCCAAAACCATGGATATCCCAAGCTTCAAGCTCATTCCAAGTGTTTTCATGTGTTCCCCATACCCTTTGAATCATCTCTAGATTACTTCTAGTACCTAATACAGTATAAATATGTAATACATGGTATAAATAGCTGTTATACTATATTGTTTAGGAAATAATGACAAGAAAAACAATTGTATATGTTCAGTACAGATCCAGTATTAATTCAAGTATTTTTTATTCCAGTATTTTTTTATTTGCAGCAGTTGGTAACATCTGCAGATACGAACCCATACATACAGAGGGCCAGCTATGAATGGCCCATACCCTATCAGTAAAACATCTCCCAACATTACTTGTAGGTTAAACACAACATGGTAACACTGAGAACTTCATAACATCTAGACTGAACTCTAACGCAGAATCTTGGATGCCAGAAATAAGCACTTTTTGTATGTTAAAATAGATACAAAGAATTATTATTGTAAAATAATAGAGTTTCTTCAGTATTTACGATTGCAAAGAGATTGACATGAATGTGTTTCACTGATATCTTGACCACTGCTTTGAAAACTTTGTAACATATTTATATAGATACACAGATATACAAGTATATATAAATATATATAATATATAAATATATCTATATTAAATATCTTTGTAGCATAATGTGCAAATATTTGACTTCTTGTTTAAAAAATAGACTCCTCTAGTGACCGTATAAAGCACCAATGAGGGAAGCGCTGCTAAATAAAATTCAATAATCAAGTTGAAATCAAGTTCTTAACTCCTCAAGGATATTGTACACCTGTTGTGCTACCTCCCATGTCCATTTATTCTCACTAGACCTTTCAAGGAAAAAATGAATTGTTTCTAGTGATCTGATTTTGGCAAATAGCTCTCAAGCCTTACAGAGGGACTTTCTCAAGATTTACCTGTGTAAATCAGATCCTGATTGGCTAATATGACAGCTCTTCAGTTCATCTAAAGCACGCATATCAGGATTCACTCAGGGAGGAGGCAGAAGGTACAAAGACAGTAGAAGTATAACGAGAAACACCCTAGTATATGAATTAATACAATAAGAGATAGTAGGAAAAAATGGAAAGGAACAAATAACTGAAATATAGTTGAAGTGTTAAATATAGTCACTGGTGTACAGCAGGAAGTAGCTGTAAGAAAAATCAAATCAGGAAGACATCAGAAATTGAGTATTAAACAGTATTAGGAGTGAGGATACATCTCCTCACCAATAGAAAGGGCATTTCCAGGTGAATCTGTGGATGCTGGATGTAGTTGTAATCAGCGGAAGTAAGTAGGATGTGATAAATAGAAGCACCAATTCAAGGATGCCAAGGAGAAAATATTGGTCATATGCTGCACTCTCAATTATGAGATCTAATTTAATTTCCTTTCTCTCATTCTGCAGAAAGATGCATGCACATTCCTCAGCCTTTAGTGGTTTGTGTTCATGTTCCATTTAGATATTTTCATTGCCTCATAGGTTCCTTTCAAGTATTTTGGCTTCAAAAGACTTTTTGCATTTGAGTGACCTGAGTTCAAAACCTACTGGTACATAGAAAGATTATAGGAACAGAACCTCAATTTTGTTCTTCCAGTAGAGGGATGAGGCTTTCTGCTATTAAAAGTTAGAACATTTATATCATTTTATGCAATGTTCACATTTACTATTGAAAAATGACCCTTTATTTTTCCAGCGTTATACCAATACACTAATAATGAACTAAAAATATTTTTAAGAGATAGTGGAAGAAAGAGGGTAGAGATTTTCTTCATAGGAATGCCAATAGCCTGCAAGGATACCAAAGGAAGATGCCCATTCTAGCTGTTATATACCTCCTACACTTTCTTTGTCAAACAGAAAACAGACAGGTGCACTAAAGACATGCTGTGAATTCATATTAAAATTTCAACACGCCCAAAATCAAGGGCCCGGATGCCAGCAGTTGTAGCAGCAGGATTTTCTTCCCTGTTGATTGAGATACATGAGTGAGACAGAACTTGGCTTTCTTACATGATGTAGTAACTTGTGAGTTGTGGGGTTTTTTTTCCCTGATATGGTAGAGGGAAGAAAAATAGCTAAACTTTCTAAAATGACAGCTCTCTATTTTTAAATGAGTTCAAAAAACTGATTAAATTATGTATTTTATTGCCTTTGTGACTATCATTAAATGAATATTTTATTTTCAAGGCTTGAATAAATGAAAATAAATTTTTGTAACGTCTGATCTTGTTGAGTTTTTGTGAATACTGTCAAAATGTTCTCACTGTTCAATTCCAGAGCTATAAATAAGGTGGGGTTTCTGGAATCTTCAGCTATTCTCTGAAAATACCTGAAACTCTTAATTAAATACTGAAGTAATTAGGTTCTCCCACTGATACCAATTGAGGGTCTTCCTAAAAAAAAAATACAGGAGAAACATTCATCAAAGGCTCTTAAAAATGGTGTGACAATGAGAACTGATTTAAAATAATCGTAAAAGTGCTTTATGTGTTCACCAATAAAACCACTATCTTTATGAAATGGTGAAATAGATGCATAGATATACATACACAGATGCACTCACATACCCACCCAGAAATGCTAATTGGGGAATTCACATACTGAAATTGAGAGATGAAGAAATGCAGGTGTCATCCTCATTTGATGCCACCAAGTGAGACATCATCTTGTTTTCCATCCAAAAGACCTCTAGAAGACTCTCACCCTCTTCCATGGGATAGCAATTCATCTCCCTCAGAACACTCAATCTCCCGTTGCTCCTCAGTCCTTCATCCACTCAGAAACCACGTCAGTTTAGAGCAAGACTCTTTAAGCCATAGTATGGGTACCCATGGGAGTTCATGAAATTGTTCAAGGGGTATGCCAGCACGGACAGGTCACTGGTGTCTATTTCTTCAGCTTTCATATGTATACTTTCCAAAAACTGCCTGCCTCAAATGCCCAGGGCTTCAGTTGTCCTGGGTCCTCCTCTACCACCTCCTCTTTTGTAGTCAGGATTCTTCCCTTGCCAAATAATGCCTTCTTCTCATCATCCCTACTCCTACTGTGATACACTGTCCCAGAGTGGGAAACGGTGGCACCAAACAAATAATTCATACTACTATATGGGAAAAAAGATTCTTTTCTTTCCCTGTTGCATACTTACATACTGTTACTTTACCATTTAGAAATGGAATAGTTCATGCTGGCAGTGTGGCACATGCCTGTAGTTCCAGCTACTTGGGAGGCTCAGGTGGGAGCACCATGAGTTCTAAGTCAGCCTGGGCAACTTCAAGAGACCCTGTCAAGGAAAGAAGGAAAGAAGGGAGGAAGGGAGGAAGGGAGGAAGGGAGGAAGAAAGGAAGGAAGAGAGGGAGAAAGGGAGGAAGGGAGGAAGAAAGGAAGGAAGAGAGGGAGGGAGGAAGGAAGGAAGGAAGGAAGGAAGGAAGGAAGGAAGGAAGGAAAGAAGAGAGGGAGGGAGGGAGGAAGGAAGAGAGGGAGGGAGGGAAGAAGGGAGGGAAAAAGAAATGAGATCAAAGCAAAAAAGAAATGGAGTAGTCTGGGCTGTGCAAAATATTTTGAAATTACTGTAAAGTAAGGTGATGATGCAGACATTTTCTGTTTCCCTAACAGCACTGTCTTTACTCAGACAATCCGCTGCCCTTGAAGGACAATCCTATGAGGGCTTGTGAAAGAGCAAGAGCATCCATTAGACAGTGAAAGAGAACACATATTTGGTTTTGTTCCTCCAAGATATACAAAACTACGGCAAATGGCTGAACTGTATCTTAAAGCCAGGATTCAGATAGGAGATGATGCAGCACAAGGGCCCACATTAATATAGTCTCCACAGCAGAAAAATGAAGCCAGATTTTTTAACAGAAAGATCTGATTTGACTTAGTTTGACAAAGTCCCTTGCTTTGTAAATTAAGAAACATACGGGACATTTTCTTATTAATTAAATGAGCTCAATCTGTAGTTCCAACATTTTAAAATATATTCAAAACATTACCACATAAAAAGTACATTATAAAGAAAACAATTTAAAGCATATAGAGAATTCAACTTAGTAATAAATGAAACAACTGAATTAAAAATTATCAAAATAACTTCAGTAGATATTTTAGCAAATGATGGCAACTAGAGAAAACAACCACGTGGCAATGGCAAGTAAGTATATGAAAAGATGTTCCACATCATAAAATGTTTGCATAATTTACACCACAATAGGGTACCACTGCATGCCCAATAAAATAGCTAACATGAAAAGATAGTGACAACAGTAAATGATGACAAGAATGTAAAGAGCAACACTCGTATAGCGCCCACGCCTCAGTAACTTTCAAAATCACTTTGAAGTTTTTTTATAAAGTTAAAAACATGCTAAGCATATTACCAAAAATTTCATTTCTGTCCTTAACCAATGCCTCCTCAAATAAGAGTACCAAAAAACCACGCAGGGTCCAAGGATCTGTGGAGGGGTTGGACTGCCAATATCCATGAGGGGACATGTTGTGGTAAAGGAGGTGTCTTACGCTATGACTTTGGTGGTGGTTACACAACTTTATATATTTGTCAAAATTCATAAAACTATGAATTTAAAATTGATAAATCTTATTGTTTTTAAATTTTGCCATACTAAAGCTTATTAAAAATTTCATTAGTAAAGATATAATAAAAAAATTTATCCAATTTTTTTTATTTTCCAGGCCCTTA